CCTTTAAAAAGTGGGGTAGGAATGTCTTTGATTGAGTCTATTACTTCTATCCATGTCTGAAAAACTCCTAGTATTCTTCCTTGGACTACTACGTAGAATCTGAATTTTTTATCTTCATTTTTTTCTGTAAAGTAATGGCTTAATGAATTTACCACTGAAATGAAATAACTATTGTCTCTAGGAATTTTGTCGTACGCTATCCACAAGTTGACTATCAGTCATCTTTGAGGTTTATCTATCTTTGTTTCTGGTTTTACCCTGAAACTTAGATTAGTTGGGGGGTAGAGAATTAGATTTTGTTTCCCTGTAGTCTTTCCATGCTCGTAGTATTCAGTCTTGCTTCCTCTGACCTTGTCTGTGGTTGAAATAAAGTGTTTCTTAATAGAATCTGCAAATACGAGTCTTTGTCTCTCTGTCCACTATTACTTGAACTGGATGCTTTGTCTTTGTTCTTGCCTGTACTCATTCTGAAAATCAATAATTAGTTTTCATAAGTCTGCTTAGTTGATCTGCTAAGGAATTATCTTTTCCTTTTATATGTTCTAAAGATATATTGTATATTGATGTGGCGTCTAGAAAATTTAGCCATCTTCTTTTACTACTATTTTTTCCTTCTATTTTCTAGTGGAATTTTACAATAGCCTCGCAGTTAGTTCTTACCAAAAATTCTTTTTTATTAATAATATATAATTTAAAACTATTTAATCCATATATGACTGCTAGTATTTCCCCATCTATGCTACTCATGTTTCCTTTCTCTTTGTACTTTCCACTATAATAGACGCAAAAATTTTCATCTTTCTTGTTTCCATATTTATTGTTTTTTTGTTTTTAATACTGCTCCCCATTCTTCTAGGCTTCCGTCAGAGCGTACATTACTATCCTGAGATAACTTATTTATGCAAGTAGTAACATATATGCCATCTAGAATATATAAGAAAAGATTTAGGCCATACGAAAAACAAATAATAATTGACCAGGAGTATCATTGGTATCTATTAAAAATAAGACAAAATTATTCAGATATATACGACTTTTTAATAGGACAAAGACAACTATATCTAGAACAATTAAGATTATATTCAGATTTATTGACATCTTCACAAATACTGTCTATACACCAAGAAATAAAACAAATAGATTTAATATTTTTCTTCTATCTCCTCCGTCTTGAAGTTTGATAGAGGCTTCTATTGGCATTCTTATTCCTATAGGTCTAACCATTTCTGGTTCTGTTGACGGGTCTTGTCTAAACACACGATGTCGTGATAAGTTACTTATAATATATTCTACTGGTGTTATTGGGGTTGTTTTTTGGAAGGGACTTGAACTCGAGGAAGCAGTTTCCATAAATTCTTTTAAACTGCGTGTTGTCTCATCATCGCTTTCTCCTTGGGTATCTTCTTCTTATCTAAATCCATAATTATATGTTCTATGTTTGCATTCTTTAAAGTGTTTTTCTATTATAGAAAATTCTATTTTTCCTAATTTACAACCTTTACATTTAAACAAAGTTATTTTATTTGCTTGATGTATTTCTTTAACTTTTGCTATTGATAAATCTACTTCATAGTCTTCTTCTTTTATATTTTGAATATTCATACCTCCCATATTGATGGTTGATTCATTAACTTCCAAATCTTCATCTATTTCTTTTTTATATGTATACTTATAATCCGTGAATCTGATTGATGTTTCTCCTTTATTATTAGTGTATGTGAGGTGGTCATTTGGTCATCACACTTATTTTTTACATATTTTTTCTAAATTCCATTCTCTACTTGCGTATTCTTCTGAATTTATTTTAAAGGTTTCATTAATTTGATTCCTTTATTTCCCATTATACCTACCGCATCGTCTATTTTTATTTTAAACCTTGAACTGCCATTGTAGGCTAATTTTCCTATGAAGCCAACACAAACTAAAAGATTGTTTCCACAGCTCATTTCTTCGTAACCCTTGGTTTGTATACCTATTTTTATGTATTTTTCAAATTCTTTTGAATTTATCATGAAATCTGGATTACTGTAAAAAATTCCTCCATTATTACTCATGTCGACTTCTGTTAAATCTATTATCGATCTTTTAGATTCTGACCATCTACTATCATATAAAGTAATTAATACTTTAGTACCTAAATTTTTTCTAGTTAAATCTTCAAGTCCGATTACTACTAATCTCATATGCATGAGACTCATTTGTCTTTATTGTATTTCTTGCATAGATTTTTTACTAATTAAATTTATACTTTTACTATCGTTTTCTGATACACTCAACTGTTCTTCTCTATAATGTCTGTATAAATGTGTTGTTCATGAAAATAGTCCTGTATTGTATAAAACTTGTGGATTTAATAGCTTTAATTTATTTGCTTGAAAATTTCTATATCTCTATCTACATCTATTATCTCGTCTAACTGATGACTGCTACTAGGTCTAGATGAGTTCATTATTCGAGCTAGCATGTTGTTTCCTAGTCTATCTTGAGAGAAACTAGCCCTTTGTCTTTCTTGGGAACTTCTATTCATGTTTGAAAAAAGGTCCATGCCTTTCCTTTTCTTTTAAGTCTATCTTTTTGATGG